GGATGACGCCCACCAAGCCTGAATGAGGATTTTCATGTGTCATTAGTGAAGGCACGAAAAGAGCTCACCGATTTATTTGCATAGGCTCGGGGGTGTACTGTCCACCGCTTTTCTTCTTCAAATCTTCTAGGTCCCAGAGGTACCGCGGCAAAGGCTTTGTTCCTCTCGCTGGGAGATAACGCTTTGCCACAACCTAAATGTTGCATGCACCACCATGTGCCTATATCAGTACAATCTGCTAATTGTAAGTTTGACAATAACGTCCTTAAAGGAAGTGGTCACGATAATTCTCATAGGGACGATAAGGAAAGCTGTGTACTGGAGTGGATAGGGGTCCTGCCCAATGTTAGAACACGTGAAGTTTCAGTGGCAGTGGCGCCTTATCAACGGAGTGATAAGGCGCCGAAATCCACTTCCGTTCAGCAAAAACCAAGACTTATCGATGTGGAAAGGGGTGCGATAAGAGCGTGCTAGATATGATACCGTTATCGTTATCGTCCCGTTTTCATTCTGGAGTGCACCTCTTATCAAGCAGCCGCACCTTCTTATCTCATCGTATCTTCCATGGGCTTACACTCGTCCAACAATTACTGCCTCACACCTTATCGATTGATAACGCGAGGGTAGCAAATCCAGCGTGGAAGCCAGCGTGATCGCTTCCTTTAAGTTCAACCACTCAAACCTGCGTGGGTCTCAAATTCTGATCCACGCATCATTCAAGAAATGAAGCTGCTGTGCTGACTCTTCATTTTATTAGCGGGGATGAGATGGTTTCGCTCAATTGCCTTTGAGATAACACGCTAGGCGTATCGAGGTAGGAGGTGATATTCAAAAGGGGTGGGGGCTCCTGTTATGGAACGAGGTCCAACCGATAGAGAAACAAGTCATATGTACAAAAATGAGACTGCTGTAGACAAACTACCACAATTTCTAGTGGTATACCAGAATGACTCCATCCAATTTTTGAATGACGAAGCATCCGCAATGGTTTCTGACTGAGACTAATTGCAATTTATGTGCGCATTCAGACTTCTTTGCAACAGCCTTTCCATAATTAGTACGAAAGGTACATCAGGGTACAGCTGCTGATATCGTGGGTGGTGTTCAATCACGCTTTATGCCCATAATCCCCTATCCTTCCACAAATAACAAGCATCACATTTTATGCGATGTTGAGCTACACAGCTCCTAACACCATTCAATGAAATGGTCGTGACCTTGCGCTCCGCTGAGTAAGAAACTCTTAGCAGAGCTAGGTCGCTAGCAGAAGACCCTCATTTTCTATTGTCCATCTATTACTTCCTGAAATGTGAATTGCAATTTAAGCGAGAAATGATACGGAAGATGAGAAAGCTTAGCAGGAAAGTGCACAGTAATAACTCAGATAGCAACCTGTTCCGAAACAACAAGTAAACAAATGTTCAGAATAAAAGTTTAACGAATAATTCAACAACAAAGAGATAACAATTGCTATAATATAGATCAGCGTACCAACTCCGGCATTGAAATTACCCCGCATTAAGTATGCTAAACGACGTATGATGAAAAAATGAAGGGTTAGGACTGTATTCAGGGAAGGCAACAAACTTAGCGTGTCTACGAAAAAAGTTTAGAGCGGGAAATTCGGAGTTCGTTTCAATAGTTCCACCAATGAGATCAATATCCCTATAGTCGTTACACAACAACAGGATTCTGTGCAAAGCTACCCGCCAATTGAAGCTGAGAAAATCGTTCAAAAGACCATGTACACCATGAAGAACCACTGCAATACCTACACTACTTTGATCATCACCTAATATATCAAGACAGACATCAGGTTGATCCCGTAAAACAATTCCATCTTGTCGGCTCAACCACTCCCGTTCAGCATTACTTATACAAGGCTCCTGAAAAGCTTATTAAGAACTAACGTGATGAAGCCTCAGAAAGAAACAGATTCAGAACGATTCTACCTGGTAAATAACTTCGTATATCAAACGCACGGCATATTCTTCGTGTAAGAGCAAGTTGATGAGTCCCAGCTTCCCATGGGGCATCAAAATGGCCATTTCCAATTAAGTACACACACGAAATGTGTCGGTCACCCCAAGGAACCGGCGGATCTTGTTAATGAATCCAACGAGTGAATAAGACAGCATATAGGTTTACGTTTTTGTTCCGAGATACCGCGATTCTCCAACAAGGAATGCTGAGTTATGGCAAAAGATGCAAACCTGAGACCACTTCTCAACTGTGTTTCGTTTTCTCCATTTTTTTTGCGCTGATGTCGTCTACGGTGCCTTCTACTCCTGCTAACCTGATGCCACAGGGCACGTTGTCTTACAATCGGGATCGCCTTTTGCGTCTAACCTAATTCAAACCCGTCATCTTCCATCTAAAAAACCTTCAAAAGAAGGGAATTATGACAAAAGAAAAACAAATTGCTAAACACTGCGTAAAATGACCGTGGATTGACCAAAAATAATAACGTACACGGAATATAAGTAAAACTCTTCAACAAAATACGGAACATGAAAGAATGACAATTTAAATTAGCGGATAATGTTGTTACCTTAATCAGATGAGAACTCTCTGCACACGACTAATCGCAATTTCACCGGTGAGAAAATGTTTTAATTTCATACTCCTAGTTTTTTCTATGGCAGCTATGGGCATCCAGCAGAACATCATCGATTATCAATCAGCACATGAGTAGTTTTAGGTCTCCTTTTTGTTTCTACATAAAGAAATCGCCACTGCCATTCACCATCGCGTTGCTCCATCTCCGCTTGAGCAATACCCTCGTCGCGTTCGCCCTACACAACGGCTAATAAGCTATGAATACAAACGAAATATAATAGTTCTAACACAATGACGTACCTTCACATGAAAAAGTACGCGGATACGTTGCCTTCCGTCTTTTTCGTATTTGTGATGAGCGACGTGACGTCGACGACCGCGTGAAGTCTCTTCTCCAAAACCAGCTATGGTAGGTCCGAAAAGATCATGAACACCGGCCGTCTTCTCTCACCAAAGAAAAGTGCACTGAAGAAATTTGGCAAATATTCATTGTAACTGCGAAGATAATATGCATGTTCGCTCCTTGTGTAGTTCTTTTGAAGGATATCTTCTGTCGAAAAATTCACTGACAGCCAAGAAGGTAAACAAAAAATCGCCTAAACATGCAATTCGAGCGCACTGAGTAATACAACAGAAGGTTGTGACCCTTTCTGCAACCTCGCAAATTAAAACTAGGCCATAAAGAAAACATTTGCGCAAACTATTGTTTGATTGAATAAAAGAAGGCACCTCTGGACAAAATCCCTAACCAGGAAAGGCATTCAACTTCCCATGGAACTTTGAGATGAGACCCAGATATATCGATAGAGCTTCAAACGCTGATTACAAATATGGAAACTAAAACTGCAAAATGAACCTGCCAAGGAAGTTGTGAGCAGTCAAAGTTGGCTGGAAGTAAAGCATTACATATGAACCGTGCTAGCTTCCGGGCTTTCAGAGTCAGTGGAGTAGTGGTAGTGCTCTCGCTCTCCAGCCGGGAGGTCGTGCATTCTCTTTCCGTTGAAGTGCAACTTTCGAGAGCACTACCACTACTCCATGGCGACTTTGAATGCCCGGACGGTACCACGATTCATATGAAACGCTTTACTTCCAGCCAACTTTGACTGCTCACAACTTCCTTGGCAGGTTCATTTTGCAGTTTTAGTTTCCATATTTGTAATCAGCGTTTGAAGCTCTATCGATATATCTGGGTCTCGATTCAAAGTTCCATGGGAAGTTGAATGCCTTTCCTGGTAAGGTATCCGTTCTGCTCTGGGCAAAAGACTGTATTATACGGCTTGCAAAACATTTACGATAATTCCCAGGAAAAACACTGGCTGAGACGCGCTAGTCTTCAATGCGGTAATAAAGCTGCTCTCACAAAAAAGGAGAGTTTGATAGAGAAAACAATAGCATAACCAACCTAGCCATTCCCAGCTCCAACCACGTAACTGGGAATCCTATTCAAATTACAGAAAGGGTGGAAAGTTGAAAAGGCCAAAAGCAAAGAACACTATGAAAGGTGGACTTATGTGTAGTACCAAGCAGCAACGCATAGGTATGGTGCAAGGATCAAACCGTGAATCGATTCCGCTGAGGCCAATGGGGGTACTCCCCCCTCCCCTCCCCTTATTTAAGTTTATTTCCGAATATGGGAAATAAATACACCGATTTATGGCCTGGTCCCTCATAAGGCACTCTCGCGAAATAATTTAATATGACAGAAGGATACTAATTTGATTCTTAAAAAAAATTCGGATGTAGAAAGAGACTCGCGCTGAGAGTTTCATCACTTATCTTCTAAACACAACCACTTATAAACATCACTTAATCGTGGAATACCTTTTCAAAACATGCCTTTCCAGTGAATGTTGTAGGTTTTTGTTTCTCCTTTATTAGCACTTCTTCAAGAACTGATCGTTGTAGACCCGTCTGTTCTTTATTTTGTGGAGCGATAGTGCCCCGTTTCTCCGCAAAATTTCTGGTACCACATAACCACCTGTAAACATAACCTTATGGTTAGTTCCAGACTTCTGTAAAAGGAATAAGAAAAAAGCTACGAAATTCTTCAAAAACTCGAAAAAGTGAACGGTGCGAGTTACCTGTGATCAAGGGGCTGTCTAAGCAGAACCCTTGGAGAGTAAGCGACCCATGGAAATTTAAGTCGGTGAGTCACCGTGGTGTTGCCCAAGCGTAGAAATAAAGCTGAACTCATATTTGGAGCATCTGACACGAGCCAGCAGCTGTAAAGAAATAATTGATTTGAAAATAAAATAGATGAACTTCTTCACGACAGTGACATAGAAAACATACCCCCTTTGTAAATAAAGTAAAAAGTAAAAGAGGATGGCACTGGAAAACAAAGCAATCATGTATCTTGTTCAACACCTCTGTTCGGATTCACAAGAGCAGTTCACGAGTAAGGAAGAAGTTGGAAGGCGGTGGGCAGGAAGAAGAAGGAGGTAAAAGATAATTGACACTACGATAGTACGCATCGCTCAATTTAGTATCGTGCATCTGAGGCAGGTGTCGCCGGACTTTACGACCAATCGCTAGCGAATAGCGCGATTTGTCAGTGATTAGATGCGAAGTCTGACAGCCCTCTAGTGCGTGTCCTACCGCACGAAATATGGCTGCATTGCCGTATAATCGATGTACATTAACCCTTAGCGATTCTACCATTCCCCTCTTCTCTAAGCCTGAGATCTGGGCTCCTTCCTGTCCGATGATTTCCGCTGACACTCATCGGTACCGCCCTCTTTAACCCTAATGCTCTCTCTGAAACGACTAGAGCTAAGGCAATGTAGGGTGGGCGTACCGCGACACCAGTATAAACGTGCAGGGATGAATATTAGGGTGTGGTTCACTAGGACAGAAAGCGGCTTTCTCGCGTTTCAGCGCGAAACATTTTCCGCTGCGGGAACCTCAGGTCCACCGCTGATCATCAGTGGACCCGAGATTCCCGCAACGAACAATGTTTCGCGCTGCGAAACGCGAAAAAAAGTCCCTCTGTCCTAGTGAACCACACCCTGGGGGCATACACTTTACCGCGAGACGCGCTTCGCCCTGCACCCTTTGAAGGCCCGCCTCCTTTTTAATCAAATATATTTCCTCTTCTTGGACCTTCGACCTTGTCGCGGATCCTTTCACTTCCTTTATCACACCGCTCAAGTTATCGTAGACGGACACACAAACAGATCAAAGAGGCAACGAGGATCAGCACGTAAGCGACTCACTATTGCATCGTTTTTGTAATGGCGGAATAAGAAATCGACTTCACCTCTGATACGACCACTTCAAATATAGTGGTTATCGAGACCGCATCCGAAACAGAACATAAAATCAAATTTCAGTTAACATTTATTTTGTGTTCGAGGGTCCAATTAATTACTCTAATACATTTTAACCGTACATACAGTGAATAATAACAATCTAGAATGTATATTAATCGGAAAGCAACACCAAAAAATGCGCCTCGGAAAGTCAGACACTTAAAATTGACCAAGAGCAACATCACATTTGCATGCACGTAATGGAACCATACCTCAAGTTCATTATCAGCTATATTTCCTATATTGCAGGAAAATTTGTCTCACACAATTAGGTAGTGTCTATGCGAATTTATGCACGTAAACCCGCCGAAAAAGAACGAAAAGGAAAAAGCGAAATTGTACATAGATCGTATCATCTGCATTATTTACAAATCACCAGGATGATGCCTTAGTAAATGAACATTGAGTACCTAAGTCTCGAATATAAGACAGAAATGTATTTTATGCGAAACCAAAGCCTTCAGTGCATTCGCGAATTGCTATCAACAAGGAGTCACGCAATTTCTCATATGACTCGTATTGAGGAAGATCGAGCTGATTGAAACTGAAGAAAAACATTAGTTCCATCTGAAAATAGAATAAAGGAAACTTTAAAGGTATACCATGTGTGAGCAGCAGGCAGGCGATCACCACCACGGCAATCCATATGAATACTGAATTTCTGGATGCCATTCATTCCTTCTAGACTCGCAAACCCTTGTAACGGAACCTGCAGGGTGAAATCGTTTAGAAAAAGAAAAATAGCGAAACAGAGTAAAGATGACTTGTACGCTTACCTTGCTGGTACCTGTCACAAATTGCAAGAACTTTGCACGATCCTCTGGCTCAAATGACCTGAGCGCGCGCCAGAACCATTGAATCTTAAAGATCAATGGATATGAAAAAAGAATAACCGCGGCACTAAACCGTGAAAACCTTCCATACCTGTGCACTAGTTTTTGTATACATTTTGTATTCAGTATTGTTTGCTAAGTCATCAATATCCACATCGGGAAGGCCACTAATGAGCAACTCCAACTCTTGTTCATTGAACATGCTGATCAAGCTGCTTAGGAATAACTTCATAGAAGCCGGTGAGGAATGCGTCGAGCTGTTTGCGAATAGAACCTGAATGACTAGTCTTCAAAATTAAGAGACGACTAAGATAGAAAGAAAGTAAACTCTAACCAGTCATTTTCATCTGGCATACCAGGCTTGACGTATATCCTCCTTATTTGCATCCGTCACATCAATTTTCCTTCCATCTGGTTTCAAATCACGGATTGAGCGAACACCAAACTCTTCCACCTTAGAAAAGACATAGACATATGTAACAATAGATACTTAAAATTGGAAGGGAATTGTCTATACCTCGAGACTGAAGCTTAAATCCAGTCCCAGATCATCGATAGGATTGTTGAGCAAGAACTCGAGTGACTTGTAGAAAGCAGGATCCTGGAAATGTGGAATTTTACAGCTGCTGTGAGCCAGGAGACTCCCGCGAAGCATTAACATACCTCGCTTTCGATGTCCTGGGTATCTGACCGGTAGATTTAGAATGTGTTTGTAGAAGGCACGTGTGAAATAGCAGTCCAATAGTTTGTTATCATAAATAGCTTTGGCTATCAATCGTCCCACAAACTGAAAATAATACAAATTTTTAAGAAAAAGAAAATACATGAAAAAGTAAACACCGAAATTTATGAGGGTTCATCGCTTCACGAATGACCTTCATCAGAACGATAGAAGCGTGAGTAATATAGCAAAAATTTTGTAACCCAAAGCTTTCAGAGCTACTCCATTCCGTACCTTGAAATAATCCAGATGTTCAGGATTGATGTAGGACGCCTTGTTGATCATATACGTAACCATGTCGCCTGGTGCCGTGATGAAGAGCGCATAGTTCGGGTTGAATATCTCTCTTGTAATTACCGAGAACCATTCACGAAGCAGACCTCCCGCATCTTGACCTTCTTCACCTACAAGATAGAATTGATGAATTCACATTCATAAAACCTCCATACAGCTAACGAAGAAACATATGCACAACCTTCGAAATATTAGGTAAAGCGTATGTTTCCACTCAATTCGTCGTAGTCTGTACAATTCTCGGAAGGAGTCCGAGAATATTTGCGATCGCCTGACTTGAACTTGCACATCAGCTCGACGGAAGCTTAAACACCAAACAAAATTTAGTTCAAACTTATTGTTACAAGTATTATACAAGTATGAAAGAATCATAAAGAAGAATTCTTACCCTCTATCTCCATCCATTTTTCCAAGCTCTTTCCTGAAGTACTTTCGCTTGACGTCAAAGTCCAAAAGCTTTGGGAACTGGATGAGAGCGGCGAATGGACCGCCTGGCGACAATGCGGTATTGTTCTGTCGCAATACTTGGTTCAAAACTTCTCGATGCTTTTCTGAAAACACCACAGAATGAAACTAATACGAGCAGCTTGCTCATTTCATTAGATTAATAGCTGTAACCAAACAGTACCTGCGAACGCAATCATTTTCAAAGTATCGGGGTCGTCATGATGGTGATCACTTGCAGCGTGCGCAGGGCGTGGTACAGCATGAACCAGGAAGAAAGCTTCTGCTGCAGGTTGAAGTGCGAGCACAGCATGATGATCCGATGCCTTTCCAAGACGAAGTAGGCATGCTGACACAACTTCCCAGAGCTCTTAAAGCAGAGGCGCTTGAACTTTTGTGAGGAGAAAGCCCAGAGAACATCTCATTTTGAAACATACCTTCAAGACCTGTCAAGCGATGACTCAACACAACATCTTCGTTGGTTTCCTCAGCTGATTGCTTGGATTGGTCCTCATCATTAGCACTCGTGGAAGTGGCCATAGGAGTTGATTCTTCTTGTACGGCAGCTGATTGGGACGTTTCCGGTGTTGGTGCTGTCGCATCGTCAACAGCAACAGGATCAATCGTTTTGCTCTCAGCACTTTGCTTAGCTTCCGCGGCTTTAGCCTCTTCCTCTTTCTGTAAGTAAAGAGTGATATACAGGAATTCAATGGGATCATCATCGATCATTTACCTTTTTCTTTTCGAGTTCCTCCTTTTTGCGGCGTTCCTCCTTCATCTGACGCATAGTGTCGCGTATTTTCGAAAGAGTTTGCAGGGCACTCAACAGCTTATACTGAGCACCTGACTTGTCTGTTAACATGGTGACTGCTGGGAGTTGAAGTTCTGGGCATGAGCTCGCGCTCAGTGTCTAAAAATTATCCCATTTACCCAAAAAGCATTGAATGTTACAAAGGAGAAGTAACGTACAAATCGACCGCCATTTTCTGCATCAAGCACCAAACGCCCAATTCTGGTACGAGCCAGCCGCCTGTCACGGTCAGTGCCTACACCAGTCGCTGTGGAATCTGATTCAACTGTTGCAGATGCAGCCTTACTAGTGGAAGGAAGGTCATCCGTTCGATGTGGTCGCGTCTGGTTCACCCAGCTCCTCTATTAGCCGTTCAATCTGGAATGGAATCCTCAAAGAAGTTAACAAAAGAACTTAGAAACGATGAAGTTAGAAAAAAAAACCTGTGGTTGTAGTTCTAGTCCAACATTTTGCACGGCTGTGAACAGCTGTTCGTAGATAGTATCCGTTATAGAGGGAGGGAGAGCACGCATGCACTCGACAAGCAGTGTTCTGAGAGATAAATGGCTTCAATATTAACAACACGGCGACATGTGGCTACATAAAAGAAGGAGAAACCATGAATAATTTAAAACAACAAACCGTCCGTCAGCAAGGCCTTCATTACTACATGATCCACGCATGAGAACATCGATCACAGCTTTCAGTTGACTTTCTAGCGGATTTGGTCCTTCCAGGTTTCCCAACAATGCCATAGTGTCATTCGGTAAGGTTTGCACTATCTGCAGAAATGTTCCCTTACAACAACTCATGAGACGGCTTATTGATCAGTTGGTGCACTAGTCTTACCGTACTAATTACACGCAGTAAACGATCCTGAACTTGTCCATTTTGAGCAACCAGATTTTTGCTGAGATGTCGCATGAGGCGACCCATGTAGGAACTTTCCAGAGACATACGTTCGCCACTTTCACGTGCTTCCTTGGCGGCGAGAGACTTGCAAGATGATGCCTGAGAAGAGGGAGAAGTAAAGATAACTTGAAAAATTTGGTAAATGCATATCTACCTGCACTACCTTCCAGAACAGCGTCGAGGGTGGACTCGCATGCATTGGGCACGTACAGGTGCCGATTGGCTTTCTGATGTTCCATCTTTAGCCTGTGCCTGCTGCGAAGTTTTTCGGAGACTGGAGGGAAGGAAGTGCCCGGGGTAAGTTTTCGCAATGGTGCCGAGACTCGAGCACGTTCTTTGAGAGTCTCAAAAGCAGCACACGGCAAAGGATGAATAGCCACTAAAACACCAGGCACTGTTGCATACATTATCAAGACGAGGGAGTACGTAAGGAAATAAGCTGACCTCTGGACACGTTCTTCTTGGCTATCTTCAGCGCACGTTCATTATCGCTACACCGAACTGTGAAGAACAGCCATGAGGGGGGGGGGGGGGGGGGCGTTGGGGGGGGGGGGACAAACGGACACCAGCTGGAAATGAAATACTTGAGCGTCTTTTCTGAGAGACAGAAGAACGAAAATACGCTGCATGACTCACCTCTTCATGATCAGGAGCAGAATCATGTGCCTTTTCAAGCAGGGCCAAAAGACACCATATGACAAAATCGCACGTGTTAGCATGTGAACATGCAAGTCGAATTCCTGCAACGGTTCACATTTTGAGGAAACCCGTGAGTCAAAACACGTTACGCCTATGTCGACGGTGTCCATATACGAAACGTTTGATAGAGATAGCAATCAGCATTGTCGAATAAAAAGTGCTGGAGCGCACTTCGAAGAGCAAATTTCAACTCGTATAAGGAGCTCGCATTATCTTCACTAAACTTGCCCCTGTTCCAAAAGCGCGTTATCTGTGTGAAAGCCAAAGATTCTGAATTTTACAAGGTAGGAAATCGTCAAAGCGTATTTTTCCAGAAAAAAAAGTCAAGACATTAATCCTGGGTTTCAAAAAAAAAAAAACAGAAAGATAAGCCTGTCAAACAAGCGCTCCGTTCGGTAATGTTTACATTTAAAAGCCACAAGTTTCCCATCCATAAATTCTCCTCCAAAATTTGATAGACCCTGAGCTTTGAAAATCCACCAGAGAGGACAGCGATCATGAACCCCATCCGCACTCAAACACTTACTTAATTCTATTCTTAAAAGAAAAATTAATGCGGCCACGTTATAAACCAAGAAATTAGGCCCGAAAAAGTATAATCAGCTTTTTTCAAAAGTTGTCACCTCACTTCACTTAGCACTTCTCACGGCTACCTTGAGATTTTTATAACAACTCCCTTACACTAGATAAAATTTGATATTGCTTCAAAATTAACGCAGACTTACCTTCTGCAAACGACCATTACTCAGTCTACTATCGACCAAGAACAACATCGTGAGGATCAGTATTGAGTCTCGATCAAGAAGTTGAAGTGATTGAGCACTGGCGGTGTTCGCTTGCCCGGCCAGGCTACCAACGGAAGGAGTGCCGCTGCTACCGGCACCATGGCTTCCACTAGCACCCATTCCACTAAATCCTCCTCCAAATCCAGCCAAATTCACGTTCGAACGAAGTCCACGTGATCGAGCAGAAGAAGGCATCAACAAATGGCGGAATCGAAGAATGTTCTGCAACTAAATGAATTCTATCGTTTTTAAGTAAATTGCTGCGACCACACAACGGCATCCAGAAAGCTTCCTCCTTTGAGTTAATGCTTGAGCCATACTGAAGGAAACTCAATGGATGATCCAACAATAAGAAATGAAATTGAAGCGATCCCACTGGTTCTAAATTAGCGCGGGCTCGTCGTGCTTCGTCCTGCATCTCGGTAGGAAGACGTTGCAATTCGGATTCGTCCATCTCGGCCAACACCTGCAGAACAATCGTAATCGTAATCGTCTCAGATTGTCTTAGAACCTTTCAGGAGCGGGAGAAAATAGGAAATACACACCTGCGTTCTTTCATGTGCAGGAAGAGATGCGATAACAGCCGCACCATCCATTTCTGGTTCCGGAGCTGCAGGTGGAGCTGGTGCGTTCGCTCTACGGAGCGCCTCCTCAGCTTCACGAACTGCACGTTCGTGTTGCGCCAGAATCTCCTGAATTGAATTTTGAATTGAATCAGCTCTCCGGTGCACTTTTCAGCAAACCTACTTCTTGCAATTCAGGAGGTAACGCAGCAAGGAACTCCTGATCTAGAGGCTCCACAACTGGAACAGCGTTTGAGGCACCTTCACCAGCGCCCTCTCCCTGTAAAAACACAGAATGTTTTGGTATGGCTATAGCAAAATTCGTGAATGGACTGCTTAGGGAAATTCTACAGCCTCCATAGCATCAAAACCATCATCAAGAACAAACATACCTGCGGTGGAACAGTTGCGGGGACTTGAGCAGCACGTTGTGCTCGTTGCTGCCGACGGTGATCACGAATCACTTCTGCGCGCATATCTTCCGGTAAAGCCGCAAGGAATGCTGGGTCTACACCATCAGGTATTTCAATGTCTACAAACATAGCATAGAAATACCGCGGCATGCAACTAAAAATGCAAGGAAAAACATTGACTCGGACCATACGACCGGATTTCACGGATTTCATCAGGAATAGCGTTATTTTCAGCAGCAGTTCTAGTTGTGCTGCCATTCGCCAATGGTTCGTCAGTTGTCGTTTCTGTATGACCAGAGTTGTCAGATCTGCAACATTCGCTTTCAGGATCACGAAAGAATATTCCAGAAACAAGCATTTGTAGTAACGACAAACCTGTCGCTTGCATCTCGTACATCATCTCCTTCATGCGGTACATTCGAGACAACAGGAAGAGGGGGAGTTATCATCCGTTCTTCATCAACTTCTGCTTCTGGCAGTGAAGAAGCGACAGTCGCTGCAGAAGAGTGTGGTGGTGCTTCGTCCATAGACACGTCTGCTTCAATATCACGAGGCTCAAACGCTTTCTGAAAGAA